ATGGATGGATGGATGGGTGGATGGATGGATGGATGGATGAATGGATGGATGGATGGATGGATGGACCAATAGATGGATGGATGGATGGACCAATGGATGGATGGATGGATGGATGGATGAATGGATGGATGAATGGATGGATGGATGGATGGATGAATGGATGGACCAACAGATAGATAGATGGACCAATAGGTGGATGGTTGGACCAATAGATGGATGGACCAATGGACAGATGGATGGATGGACGGACGGACGGATGGACGGACGGATGGATGGTTAGATGTAACTCTTAACCTGTTGGTTCTTCTCTTGTCCAGGAGCAACCACAGCTCCGACCCTGATCTTCATCCTGCCTGGACTCTTCTACATCCGAATCGTCCCTAAAACCCAGGAACCCATGAGCTCCAGACCAAAGATCCAGGTACGTTCCTCCAGCTGAAGATTTAAACAGAACTTTCAGGAGGATCTGAGACTTTGTCGCATTTCAGGCTGCGTGTTTTTCCGCTCTGGGTTTCATCTTCATGATCATGAGTCTGACCTTCATCGGGATCGACTGGATGAGCGGAGAGATGCGAAGCCTCGGTGGCCATTAACGATCGACGACCCCCGACCCCAAAACATCTGCAGCCCCCTGCTGCGCCCCTCCCTCCTCCGGCTGTCCCAGTGTTCTGAGCGGGACGCCTCGGCTTCTGTGGGACTGTTTTTATTTTAAGGACGATCTGTTCCTCGTTTTAGAGACGAAGAGTCCACTTCTGTCCCGTCATCCAATCATGTTTCCGTTTACCGCTGGGATCCAGGACCACGTGGGTTCTGGAGACCCCTGAACTACGAGAAGCTAAATGTGGGGTTTATTAAGAGTAAAATTTAAAAAAAAAAAGGAAAGAAAAAAACTCAACAAAGTTTCGTAAAAGAAAATGAGTTTGGTTACAAAAATGCTTTTAGAAGGAAGCGTCGTGTTCAACATGTGGACAGAGAAGTCAGTAATAACCAAAGAAAAATAAGAGCCAAAATCTGTTCCTGCAGCTGTGAACGTGTTAATTTGGTGTAATTTGTTTGTGAAATTATTATAAACTGCATGTGTTTGTTTAGTAAAAATGTGAAACTTGCTTTTGTTTTCAGATTTGTAACATTTGTCACGGCTTGTTTTCTGCTGGCGATTTTTAATAAATCAGTTTTCAGTTGGATCGATGCTCAAAATAAAGTTATTTAGCTGTTTTATCCTGAACATTTCAGCTGCTAAATTCCCACATCCAGCATTTTTCTAAAAACCCAACTGTAACTTGAAAAATCCTTTAGGAAAATGTGAGCTAAAACAGAAACAGACTCTTATTTTGAAGAGTGTGTTCAAACTTTATTTTGACACTTTTTCCTGTTTGCTTTTTGTATTTTATAACTTATTTAGTTCATTTTAATTTCTTACCAGGACAAAACAAACTTGTGGAACAGTGGGAGACACATACCCGTACATGTCAAGTTGTGCAAGTTACCCGTAAATTACACGGATTCATTTTGCAGGTAGAAATACAGACGTATGAAGAAATCTCAGTTTTTTTTTCAAAGACTTTGTAGAAAACCAGTTTTTTTCTGAAAATTATGAATTTTTGAGGGTCATGATGCAGATAAACCACTGAGTCACTGGTTGCCATGGTGATTCCCTCCTTATCTGTGCAGCAGAGGGGGGAGGGGCAAACAAGTTAGTTCATACTAAAACTAAATTATATAATTTAAAACTTTTAATAAACGGGTGTTCTGTTAGTTCTTAACATCTATGCTGACTTTGTTATGGAG